GGCAAGGAAGCTGCATTTACCTCTGCAACAACCCTCCCAGGTCCCATCTCACAAAGTGGCCCTCCCTCCAACCCCACAGAGCTATAAGTGGAGATAAAACCATATATCTGGGGAAAATTCCAGCAAAAACAAGCAGAGCAGCCTTTCTGCACAGCAGCACAGGCACCAAAAGCACAGCCAGCCCCGTGCCCTGCTCTCTGCACAGACCCCCTCACAAAGGCAGCCTCTGAGCCACAGCCCCCTCCAGACCCAGCACCCCACAGGACAGGTCCCAGGCCCTGCAGATATGTCCTGCTCCAGGACCACCATCTCACAAACCCCACACCATTCGGCAGGAATCACAAAACCACCAAGGGAGGTTCACAAGTGCAGGAAACACAAATATCACAGGTGCTTGACCTGAGCCGTGTGATTCCCTGCCAAGGAACAAGCACAACTGCGGCTCTCACTGTCTTCAGGGGAGAGGAGAAAGACATATTTCTGGGGGGCAGCTTCTCTCTTGCAAGCTCTTCACACAGACACACTGCCCTTACCCTTGCTCCATGCCACCCCATGCATGATTGCTCTGCAGTAGCCACACGCACACTTCTGCTCCTGCATGATCTGTTTTGCTCCCACTCATGCCACCATTGTGCACTCCTACTTCGGAAAAGCTGGCGTGTGCCCTCCGCCACCATCATCATCATCACCACCACCTCACACACCCATACCACTTACCCTGAATGAAGAGGGTCTCTGCCTGGTTGCTAACATCTCCAGAAGAGGCTTTCCGCAAGGAAAACCTCACAAAGAGCTCACAACTGCTGTTATGGCAGAGTTTAAGTTATCTAATGACCTTAACAGGGGTAATGGGATGCCAATGTAAAACACCTGATTGCAATGTTGGACACAGACAGTGAAATGCACTCTTCGGCAGCTCTCAACTCTGTTCCTAGGAGCTCCCACCTGATTTTAATCCCTCAGGTCTCTCTAAGTGCAGCTGTAAGAGACTCTCTGCTAATACCTTCAGTGGGGTGGGACCACAGAGGAGCAACTGGGAGCATTATGTACCCTGTGGGGAGAGTCTCCTTCCTTAGCCACTGCTTTTAGAGGCTGTGTTGCATGATGTGACGTGATGTGACGGGGTGAGGGGTTCCCACCGCACACCCTGCAGTTTCCTCACTGGCTTTTCAGTGCAGATGTGCTGTGGTAGAACAGGCTGGGGAGCTGTCAACACCAGTCTCTTGACACAGCAAAGTAATCTGCATCGTGGCTTCAAGCAGCAGGTAGAGCAGAAAGAAGAGACATTTTTCCACTCTTCAGAATGAGCAGCAGGGCACTATTTTGTTTCCTCAGGATGGGAACTCTTGAAAGCAAATTTCCAGTTCGTCCTTGTATCTTGGAGAGCTCAGTTACACTTAACACTTCACGTTAATACAGGAGCGGACAGTTTTTCACATATGTCTACTGACCTGAGCAATTCTCTCTTCTATTAGGCTTAATGGGCTTTACTTAACAACAGTGCAGAAATCTGTGGATATCCAGTCTGTTAAAGTAGAAATGCAGTACATGAACCCAGCCCAAACTGGCACCACAGATGGAGGGTTTCAGACTTAATCTATCAAAGCTCTGCCTGCTGCTGCCCCACTCTGACAATCTCACTCCCTAAAACCTGCATACATGTCCTGTCTCCACTGCCCCGGGCAGTTCCTCACACCCCATCTGCTGCCAGCCCAATGTTGTGCATTCACCCCTCAGCTCCAGGGCTCCAAAATCACCTTACTGTCACCTGGGCATTTCTCCTGAGGGCTGCAAAGGAGGTGAGCCTGCTGTGACGATTGCAACTTCCACTCCTGCTGATACAAGCCATAAAAGAATCGCCACTTGCTCCACCAAACTCGACTGGGAAGGAGCAGAGAAGTGTTTCTAGTGAAAGATTCCTCCTCCTCCCCTATCCCACTGCAGGCTGAGCTGAGCTGAGAGCCAGTTCCTAGAGGAGAGCATGCAATGCTGTGCACTCTCCCTCTGCTCTACCACGGGTTCACCCAAGAGCATCAGAGATGCTGATCTGTGAAACGAGATACCTATCACTGAGCACCAAGGGGGAAGCAGCAAAGATTAATAAGCCTCAAAATGTTATACAGAATTTAAGTAGTACTGTCACAGATCAAAGACTATCACTCATCTCAGAGAGGCAGGCTCAGTAAGCCTAGAAAGATCACGTACAGAAAGCAACTGCAAGATGCAAGAGAAAGCCTGCAGACAGGAGCTGAGGAAAGCTCATACTTGTCTAGAGAAACCGAAGTGGCCTAAGCCAGAGTCTAACATGTGTTCCTGGAGGAACGAGAGCCAGAAAGACTGCCTGGTTTCACTCAGTCTCAGTTGTGTCTTAGCACAAAAAAACACATTTCATTTTAAGACACCCTCTTACCTTGGAGGTACCTGCTGCTGGGAGCAGCTTAAATCCCAGTGCAAAACCACAACCCTGCCAGATTGCTGAGATAAGGAGCCCACTGGGAACCATGTGCAACTGGTGAATAGATTTGAAAAAGCTCCTGATTTACATTGATGCCACAGGGACTGCAGAATCACACTCGCTGCACTCTAAGAGCTTTCATTCTTAAAGCCATGAGGATACTGCATGGAAGTTTGATGGCAATATCACTTGCCCACACTTGCAGACAGCGTGGGAGGCCTGATCTATAGTCTTTTAAGTTGCTCATATAACTATGTCATCTGGGAAGAGGAGGAAGAGAAAGGGACTTTTTATCGAAATCACTACAGTGGTAGCAGTAGTAGCACGGGAATAAAGATGCCTCATGGTGGTATTCCTATTCCCAAACTCTCCTAGAGTAGCTATCCCATCGTAAAGCAGCTTTATTCTCACATGACTTTGGGCAAGATACTCCATTTACATTTATTTGGTATAATTGAAATGCTGCAGGAACTAGCAGTAGTAGGAGCCCCTCTCAGAGGCGTGGGGTTGAATATTCCTACAGTCTACGTTGGACACTGAGTACTGAGGGTCATCCACAGCACATGCAATGCACGAGGCCAAGTGACTCCTGGATACAGACATCCAGGAAGGAAACCCTGTTCTCAGGGATCCCCTGGATACTCCATCCCTGCAAACTCAGTCCTTCACTATCTCTCCCCAAACCAGGTCTGGATCCTTGCTCCTCAACCTCGCCCCACATACCTTGCTGCTGATCTGGGGACTCCCTACAGCACTGTACAAAACCACTGTGCAGGGAACAAAAAGAAGTCCTCAAGCAAACTCTGGCTGATTGAATTTTGAAGGTAAGGAATGCCCTTCTGCAACAGATGTACAACCCCCTCTGCCCACCCCAAACACCAGATCCATCACGGAGAAGGGAAATATTTACACAAGTTAGTAGAGTTCCAGTTAAATATTATGCTTAGCTGTCTAGAGTCCATGTTCTCAGACTATGCCTATGAAATAAAAGATTAAACTTCATAACAATTATGAAGTTGCTCTGCTCACATTCAAAGGGAGTTAAAGGACATTAAAATAGTTCTTTAGGTAATATTCCAGTGAAATTGCTCTCTCCCCCCTGGAGAGTTAGAGCTAAAACCTTCTGAACTATCCTGTAAACACACTTGGAAAGGCTAAGAGCTGAGCTGATAACCAGGTAGCACCTCTGCTCTGCAGGTTCTGTAAAAAATGTGAGCAATGCTGGAGAGCTTTTGAAGCAGCGAGGGAAGGAGGATAGGGGAGAGCAGCTTCTCTTCTCGAGGGAAGTTTGTTTAGTGGAAAGTAAGCAAGTTGTCAGGGGAAAAGCTGACAATGTTGATTCCAGCAGTTGTACTGGGAATAAACAGCCAAGTGGATTACGTTACAGAGAATGAGAAACGGCTCTGAGGATCCCATTTAAATGCTGGGCTTTCAGGAATGATGCGATTCAGCCATGCTCATGGCCCCGATGCCCACAGCCCCCCGGGGCTGAGCCCTCTGCCAGCCCTGATATCGCCATTCCACCTCTGTGGGATCCCCAAAAGGTCCAGCACAGCCGATGTCCCCAGGAGAGTCAGAGCTCACTGCTGCTGCTGCGAGGACTCAGATCTGTGCTGGCTTAAAGGCAGGGGCTGGACATTGAATTAGGAACGGCAGCAGAGGGGGGGAGGTTGCGCAGGACCCGCTTGCCTCTCCCAGCCCAGCAGCAGCGGAGGGCCACCACAGGGCTTGCCATCTCCTCCCCAGCCAGAGCACAGGGCCCTCCCTCCCATAAAAATCAGATGCCTCCCTGCCTTTCACAGGAAAGGGACCCGGCAAGAGGAGAAGGGGATCTTGTTTGATTTATTAGTCTCTTCCTCCTTCCCATCATCTGTGGCTCATCCAGCTGTAGCGATAAGGAGAACAGCTATGAAAGGACACTGCTGGCTGCTGGGATCCCATCCTTCTGCCCGCTCACTGCCTGAAGACATCAGTCCTTTACAAGCACCATTAAATGTGTATCCAAAATGTGGCAGTCTCCTCCATCCTTTGAGATTCTGTTCCCTGGATAATACAAACAGTTGCCAGAAAAAGAGTATCCTCTCATCTCTGTCTGGGCCATTATCCCTTTATATTTGCTCTTTAATATTTACTGGGTTCACACAAAGTGCATGCTCTGGAAAGAAAAAAAAATCAGCTGCAGCTTAAAGGACTCCAAATTTAGTAATTGCTGCAGCCCCATCGACGTGAACAGTTAGCAGGGAGATTTCTCCAGCACTTCACGTGCCGTGGTATTCTGCTTAGGTCAGACTGCAGAAAACATTCTGTCCAGGGGCACCAAATCTGGAGTGTCTGCGTAGGTGCCAGCCGCAGAGGCCTTATGAGTCCACCATGAGTTCTTGCAGGTCCTTTCCCTCCCAGCACCCCGTAATCTTGGTAGGAAACAGAGGCAGCCAGAGAGATGCTGATTCATACAGAGGTGAAGCACCCGAGGGTTTTAACACACCTGTGAGTTAGCAAGAACTAGCCCCAGCTCCTGGCTCCAGAGCTGGTCTTGCAGCCTTACCTGTTAATGTGAGGTTGCTGTATGTGTTTGAAAACTGCTCCTTTAACAAAACCAAGTGCATCTGAGCTGCCTTTTCCCTCTGTAGCTCCAACATTATGTCAGGATGCTGGGCGATCTTACAGCCTTTCTGCTTATCCAGGGCAATGTCGCTGCGAACAATGTCTACAGCAAAAGGGAAAGAAAAAAGGGAGATGGCCAAACCTCAGCTTTCATTTTCACCAGACGCTTCGATCAGAACCAGCCAACACGACAGCCACACAACCATCACTCAGCACGAGCAACCCAGAAAAGGGTCCAAACCCCTGGGATCCACCTATCCGATGAAGCTCCTCTGCACAAGTCTCCTTTTCTCCCACAGAAAGCTCAAGTCATTGACTTTAATATGCTAACACAACCTACCGCCCCTTCCATCCTTCACCTGCCTAGCAGCTGATCTCTCACAATGATGACCCCTCCCTTGCAGGAAAGCGCAAAAGTCTCCCAACATTTATAATATGACCCTGTTACTGGTGTGTTTGACACTAAATAATGGGAAAAGACTAAACTCCATTCTGGTGACCCCTGGCTTCCATTTACCCTTGCCTGTCAAAGAGTCTTGTTCTCACCTTGTTTATCCTCACTGCAGCTATCACAGCTAGAGTTAGGTCAGCATGGCTTATGACGGGTCTCTGTACACTTGTAACTCCTGACATTCAATTCAGGAGGCGGGAAGCTCATTTAACAATCCTTTTCTCTTCACATGAGCATTTTATAAGTCGTATTGTGGAATAAGAATAAGATATTCCCTCCCCTAAAACTACTCACCTGCTGGGGAAATGCAAAGATGGGGGTAGCAGGGCAGAATAAGAATCAAGTAAGATGTGTCCAGTCTCTAAACGGGAGGGGAATAGTGCAAACTAGTCCTTGCAAGGTCCCTTTCTGAGTTTAATAAACGCTGTAACATGCTCAGATCCACAGACACCCTATGCTGTGCCTAATTCTTACAAAGCCTTAGGCAGCCAGCATGGATAAGGAAGGATGGAAGTTGGAGTTCTTCCCCCACATTGCATGAGGCCACCCTCTGCACCACGAGGTAGGCTTTGCTTGGTTTAATTCCCATCTAGCTAGGAGTTTCTGAAGGAGCTTGTTGTCAGAAGTGAGTGACGTCTTGCTCCACATGTACTCTCCAGCTCCGTTCTTGTTATGCACATCAAGGAACACCAAAGTTGTTTCCAGTATTCATGCTTCTGTCTTTCAAGGTGTCAAATCTCAGGTTCAGCAAACCTAGGTTCAAAGCTCTGCTATCTCTTGGGCTGGCAGAGAGCCCCCTCCAAAGGTGGGGTAGAGGACTGGAAGCCACATTATCTTCCTGTCTCTGAGCCTCATCCTAGAGTCACTACATTTGTCTTGCCCAGGCTGTGCCCTGTCTGTCTCTTTACTGCATAGTTTGGGATTGATGCAGCTTCTCTAAAGCCTGCCTAAAAAAGACTGCTCAGAACAGTAATGTCATAAAAGCACCTGTGTTCTGTAGTTAGGGACGCGAGTTCTCTCCGCCACCTGCAGCTAGCATGCTCAGGAGTGGAGACAGGGCAGCACCCAGCTAGCATGAAAATATGGGTCAGTATTTCCACATCCAGCACAGAGGCTTTGGCAGAGAGATGAGATGAAACAATGTTCCCCTGCAGATAATGAGCACACACACCCCAACCACGTGCTTTTGGTGCACAACCTCTTAGGCTGACACTGAGTAAGATTTGGGCCTACCCAAACTCTGCCCAAATAATGAATGATACAATCCTGAACCCCTATTGCAGGTATTTGGAGAACTGAAGACTGAGAAACACAACCTTATCACTCTCCCACACCAGAAAGGCTATTACTACAGCTACTGGTGTCACCTGGAGCTCATGAATTGTCATTCACCTTCCTGGGTGATGGATTTCCCTTTGTACAGAACTGAATGCAACAGTTGTACACCCCCCACCCCCAAGGCAAAATGGAGTAAAACACATTGAGGAGGCCCTGAAGGAGGAGAAGACTGAGAGACAGAGAGGTTTGAAACTAGATGGTCAATAAACCGTCTCCTATTCTCTTCAAACTGCTATAAGACAGTCCAGGCTGGGTCAAAACAAGTTTGTTTCCTAAAAGAGATGGAGGGCTCCTAAAACCCAAATCAGGGCCCATGTGGAGGAACCGTTGGCCTGTGACCAGGGTCCCTGCCCTCCCAGTCAGGGGCCAGGACAGCACCTTGGAGAGTGCAAGGGGACGTGGCAGCGGGTCGGTGCGACACCCCTACCTCCATCTTTGGGGACCACAGGTCACAGCAAACGCACGGCTGGGCAAGAGATGGCCCTGTGTGCACTGTCAGAAGGGTCTGGGGACAAAGGGCAGGCCCAGGGGACCAGACCCAGGAACAAGGGCCAGGAGCAGTGTTTGTAGTCCTGTCCTTAGGCGATGAGCTGCTGTGACAGGGATTAGCACAAGGAAGTCAAGTCACATTCAGACAAATCCCTGGTGTTTCCTTAGATGTTGAGGTCTGGGAGAAGGCGTGCAGGGCACAGAAAGTAGGGGCACTCTCTGGCAGTCATCTTCATGGGGTTCTCAGAGAGCTGCCACTGCAGTCATTCAGGAAGCAGAGGCAAGGCATGCAAGGTCCTGGCTTCTCAGATTGATGAAGGACCCAAGAAACTTGTCCAAGACCTAAAAATGGAGGTGGCCCCCACATTCACTATAGCTCCAGCTTAAACAGTGGGCAGACATCTGGGATATGGAGCTCCCCAAAGAACTCAGTGCCTGGTCGTCCACACCCCACCAGGCTGTACTCGGTGCAGGGGGGGGAGGCAAGGGCACCTCCACACCACTTTTCTGAACCAGCAGCACCGAGGGAAACAGGGTGGCAGGCCACAGCTGCTGGAGGCTCGGGGGAAATCTCAGCAAGAGCAATCCAGGGGAAACAGCCAGCAAGGAGCCCACAGCCCTAAAATCTTAAAGGAAGAGACAGAAAAGGGAAAGACGTGAGGAGCACAAGGAGGAGGGCACCCCAGGAGGTGCTGGGCACTGGCAGCCCCCGAGCGGGAGCTCCAGGAGAAGGACACGTCGATTAAAAAATAAAAAAAAATAGAAACAAACTACCCGGCAAAACACGAAACCAAGCAGCTCTTGCCAGAAGTGCGAAAGAAGAACTCCAGATGTGGGAGCCCCAGAGGACGCCAAATGGTTTCCAAAGCCGGCAGACGACGAGCTCTGCCCCGAGAGGGGCCGGGGC